ATATATATATATATATATATATAATTTAATACATGGAATTTTGATCATCTGTTTGAAGACGTCTTATTTCGTTAATATTTTCTAGCGTTAAAAGTAGACATATGGGTAATTGTAAAAATTAAAGGTAGAAAAGCGAGAGAGTAATAATCATACATAACTACAAAAAACATAATGATTTTTTTATACATAAAAATATATGATTTAAAAATTAATTGATTTCCCGTAGAAGAAGAAATCAACCATAACTAATTAATCAAATTATATTTAATTTTAGTCGTAAATATGTCGTATTCCATACCAATACAAAATTCCTTACGAATCGTATTACATATAATTTTTTTCATGAGTTTTTGGAAAAAATGGGCGGCAATTTTGGTTTGCCTTCAGGCGACAAAGTTGTTAATGTGTTACAGATGATTACACAATTGTGGATGTGTTAGTGGTTTCAGACTGTAATACACTGGGAATGTACCCAAATTGCATGTATATTATAAAATGCGTATCAAGTTTATATATGCACTTTCATGATAAAATACAGTTCAAAGTAGAAAGTAAAATTTTTACATTTAGATTGACTATGTTGGTATGGCTCTTCATCTGGCGAGTGAGTCCACTGATGCGCTTGCTTGAGTCGTTCCAACAATCACAGCAAGCTCACAGTGTACGTATTTATACGTAGGGCACTCAGTCCGTTTTCTGGCTAGTTACGGATGCTCGCGCATACAGCCAGTGATTCTAGCGGATGTCATGTAAAATTATGGACAGATGGTACTGAAGAATACGGATTTCTTTGTGAAATTGTATTTATTATGAGCTGGTTAAAAACTTAAAAGAGAATACGTGCTATTTCTTGACCGTATGATATAATATTTCTAGGTCATTAAATATCACGTAAAAGTTCATCAAACCAACGTTTTAACCTTACAAATAATGTGACATATATCGTACCTGTGAAATGTTTATTTGATATGCACCAACTGAATTCATACACTTTTGCAGTTAATACATGAATAACAATGTGTGTTTCGAAAGGGTCACAGGGTTCTGAAATTAAATGCGACAATAATGAAGGAAAAGACCCTGCGTTATGTTGTTTTTTCCTATCTAATAGACCTAGAAAGGAAAGACAAAAATTTGTCATTACCGTGTCAAACGTGTAACATTGTTTAATTCTTTTGGGGGATATTAAAGTGCCCCAAAAAGTGTATTTTCAATGAAATCTCGAGATCGATTTTTCTCAGAATAACATAACTTACTCTATTCTACGCATATTACTCCGTGCATACGTATGTATCCGGGAAAATAACTAGTGGATCTATATAATGAAATAAACCTCAAAGTCGTAAATTTTCTGGTCTCTTTAGTCTGAACTCGCTTTTCGAATATGTCTTGTGACCTGCCATCTTTTCCTCCTCAAAGGAAATTTTTCACGTTTTCTGAATTTTCTGAAAAGTAATCAGCAATGAAACAAAAGGAATTTTTGACTTTCTTTTCAATCACAGCTAAGTCTCTATCTCATTTCAAGTATGTGATATCAGGTGTTACGTATTTGTCATCTACAAATTCTAACTTTCACTTTGAGATTTCATACATGCAATGTTCATATTTTTCACCCCCCTTGTTTTGCCCCCCACAGGAGACACGGTCTCTACTATTAGATTTTGAGAAGCACGACATGCAATGCATTCCCCCATATAAACATTTCGGCCTTGTTGGTTGCTAAGTTTCATACAAATATTCTCCACGATCTTCCGTGTCATCACATCTCGTCACATATACCATAATTAAATTAAAGAAAGAGCAATTTTGACTGAGAAGCTCAAAAACGCATGCACAGATGTTACCACCAGTTGGGGTTGCACTTACACATCGTTTTTTCTTTAAGCTCTTTCTTTAATTTAAATATGGTATATGTGACGAGTCATATTGAAGAGCATATATGCTGCAATAACACTTTTTTCAATTTGGTAACTTGTACCACTTATTTACTGCGTACCTAAATTTTACATTAGTAGTTTAGGGTGAAGGTGATTTATTTAACTATTTTTGTTTTCGTTAATAGATTAAATTTAGTGGAATAAGTCGTCAATATAGATATTGTGGTCAGTTATCGTTGGCATTTCAAATGAAATAATTATATGCGTCGTATTATTAATATTGTTGGCAATGACGACGCATATAATTATTTCAGAGGCCGTCAATTAATTTCTGGATCAGAAATTATCCTTGAGAGATATTATAAATAAAAGGTACTGTATTTTGTTACATTTTACTTCTTCGCCGTCGAATTCTTCGTAAGAGGAGAACGTTATGTAATCGTCCGGCGGAAAATGACGAATTGTCGCCAGAAAGAGTCTTCTAGCCAGACTTGCTAACGACAATGTGGACAAATTCTGTTGCTAATTTAGAGAAAAAATCCTCTAGCACATGGACAGAATCCATGTTGTGTTGGTTCTTGATACCAAAAATTCGATTGACGGCAAAAAGTCCGTCTGTACGTCTGCGCACGTGTTGCGCTAAAAATAGTGTTATTTGTTTCTCAAAAACAGCTTTTTTTAAAATTTACTCCACATATATAATAAGGGAATGTCAAAAGAGGGTGCTAGTACCAGTTTCGGCTTCGACACGTTCTTTTCGAAAATGCTAAAAAGTGAACGTTTAAATAGTAAAAACATTGGAGATAAAGATTTTGGCTTTAATAAAAGCAAAAAAATTAGCTGTTGGAAAAACGTCATGTACAATTTTTTGAAATAAAACGAGTAGGTTTTGCTTCATTAATGTCTCGTATTTATGCAGTTTCTAAAAATATTATTTTATCAAACCCCGAACCACGTATAAATAAATAAATAAATAAATAAATAAATAAATAAATAAATAAATAAATAAATAAATAAATAAATAAATAAATAAATAAATAAATAAATAAATAAATAAATAAATAAATAAATAAATAAATAAATAAATAAATAAATAAATAAATAAATATAGATTAATTAATTAATGCTGTGCTGTAGAATAGCACAGACTTTCTCATCCTAGTTAGTTTTCTAATCTCTCTGGTCTGGACTAACTTTTGCGACAGGCCTTATGCTCTTCACAGCTGCTTTCATTTTGTCGTCCGAAAACTTTTTTTTCTTCACATTTTCTCAATTTTTCAGCTCCGTAATGTTAGAGCTATGCAATTATACCTTGGCTAATACAGAAGAATAAAACCAGCAACCTTGCTGGGTGGCCGAGCGGGTAAGGCGTGTACGGATTGAAGGCTTTGGGGTCGATGAGCCGGGTCGGGGTCCCACGCAGGGATCTTAATTCTAAGAATGTGTTGGAGCTGAAAACTATTAAGAATACGAAAAACTCTTTTGAAAATCATATGAAGTACTTCTACTTACAAATACAGTAAATATTTATATAAGTAAACCAAACGTGCCTGTGCGTGCTATTCCAATTTGCAACTTTTAAACATTTTTTCAACTGTTAATAGATTTGTAAAACGATGTTCAGTCAAATAGTCTTTCTGTTCATCTGTATGAACCGAATTAAGTAAACTCATGAATATATGAATATGAAATTTAAATACAATATAACCAACTTCAGATATCACTAGCGGTTCCCAAATTCTTATTACTATTTCATTTTACGAATACTTCATAAGAAGAGAAACGTATGTACTCGTGCGCCAAAATTCGGCAAATTTTCACCAGAAAACTGTTATTGCTCGACTCTGCTAACGCAAAAGTGGATAAATCATTTTGCTATATTTAGAATGAAAGATCCTCCAACATGTGGTGTACCCATAATCCATGTTTTGTGGGTACTTGGTACCGAAAAATCGATTGACGGCAAAACGTCTGCCCGCTTGTGGTCAACGCCAGCGGCTAAACCGTTCAGCCGATTTTCTCCAAACTTGATATATGAATTTGAAACCGATATTTTAATTTTGGGAGATACTTTTTACAAAGCACCTCGGACATTTTCATAATTTTACAAAAAATGGCTCCAAATTTTTTGATTAAATTTTGTTGGTCAATAGTGCGAAAGGCGTTTAAGAGAATGGTGCAGGTCTCATTTTCGGTTATATCTTCGGTTTTTCGAAATTGCAACAAACAATTTAAACTACAAAACCGATGATAGAGGTTTTTGGCTCATAGAAATACAGTGTCATGTACATTTTTTTAAGTTAGTAGTTTTTGCGTAGTTTGCGCTTGACATTTGCAAAAAACGTGTTCTTGAAAACCGCTCCAAATTTTTTCTGTTAATTTTCTCCACATATGTAAATGGGACGGTAAGAAATATGGTGCTAGTCCCATTTTCAGTTGTTGCTCGCTTTTTTTAAATTGCAAAACAATTTCATAACTCAAAATTGAAGATATTTTTCCCTTAGTTTCTTGTAGAACATTAGCAATTTAAATATAAAAATAATAAATAAATAAATAAGCTAGTGATGGTACAGAATACCACAGACTTTCTCGCCCTAAGTAGTTTTTTAATCTCTCTGCTCCTGACTAACTTTGTCGCCAAGCCTCATTCTCTTCATGGCACTTTCATTTCGTCGCTCTAAAAACATTTTTATTTTCACATTTTCTCAATTACTAGGCTCCCTAATGCTAGAACAGAAAACCACCATACTCTTCTTACTGTTATAGAAGTATTCATATCATGTCCTAACGGGATGTCTGCGGTGGCTAAATTGTTGGGTCCGGGCCCAGCTCTTCGGAGGGAAGGTCGGCTGGCTCGAGTCTTGGCGGAGAAATATTATTTGTGACAATTCTGTGTTGCCGCAGAAAATAATTGAGAATTACACAAACGGAATGGAAGTTT